AACCCAGGTACATGCCCCTGTCAGTTAATTTGCATATCACCTTTCAGTTCCCAGGCCGATGCTCTATCCACTGAGCCAAACCGGTTTCGGCCCCTATACCTTTTATGTTAGTATTGGATACTGAATAGTCTGTAAATTGTGCAACAGACTTATTTAGTCATCTAGTGTAAGACTGTGAATATCATAAATATGGATTAAGTCTAGACATCAATGTTGACTGTAGACAACACCATTGACGAATGAATCATCATGTTATGGGCAATGAAATGTTATGGAGATGGGATAATGATCCTAGTACCAGATTGAGTAAATGATTATTTACACTAATGCAGAGCTTCATAAATTTTTTGGTTCATAAAATTCATGAGTATCTCAATAATTTTTTTTCACAGTACTCCTAGGACAAAAAGAATACCTACTATTTATGAGGAAGCTAGGTTCAAAGAACTTTGTTTATGTCCTATCAACACCTATTGGACACTGTAGATTTCTCAGACTTTGGAGCAGAGTGGACATTCTTATTTCTCTTCCACATCGATTTTTCCCATTATATCACTTATCACAGCTATAGCCAAAAACCTAGCTTTCTAAAATATGGCCTTTCTGAAAGGAATGGAGCAGTCTTCATGTAGAAACTGAACTGCTTTGAGTTGATAGTTCATCCAGTGTTCAACAGATGTTGCCATGCTTCCCTCAAAATTTTAAAATATCACCCTGACCGGTTTGGCTCAGTGGATAGAGCATTGGCCTGCGGACTGAAAGGTCCCAGGTTCGATTCCGGTCAAGGGCATGTACCTTGGTTGCGGGCACATCCCCAGTGGGAGGTGTGCAGGAGGCAGCTGATCGATGTTTCTCTCCCATCGATGTTTCTAACTCTCTATCCCTCTCCCTTCCTCTCTGTAAAATCAATAAAATATATTTTTTTTAAAATTTAAAATATCAAATGGGGGCATCTGTAATACTGTCAACAATTTAAACATTTTTGTTTTAATTATCTTTCAGTTCCCTATGAGTTTGCCATCATGCCCTGGAATACTTTAGTATATATTTTGGGTCTATGGCCTTAATGACTGACATCATAGGATGGGAGCGGATCTCACCTAAGGACTGAGATATCTCTTTTGGAGGGTGGGTGGGAATAGTCAAAGGGGATATTTAAGGAACATTAGTGAAGACTGGTTAAAGATTGAACCATAGTCTTAGTTGAATAATCCATTTGTCTTTAACCTTATCTCCTTTGAAGCTTTGAGACGAATATCACACATATCTGATGTTCACAAGTGACCACAGTTAATCTCAGTATTAATTTTTTTATTCTCGTCAGTTCATGTGCATAATCATTTTGTTTTTAACACCATTGTCATACTTTTTATATAAAAATTAAATATTGAGGATGAAACTCTGATGTAGACTTCTAGTCTTTGATCCTGCCCTTATTACTTATACTATTATATTAGCTTTTTAAAAAATATCACTTGACTCCAATCTTTTTTTTCTGACTCACAGAAACAAAATAAAATTTTTGAGTCAATCAAAAGCTCTTGTTTTTTTGTCCCGATGTAGAACAAATCACCTGCCGCAGTTACAGAACCAGAAACCAATAAATTTGATAGTACTGGATATGATAAGGACTTAGTAGAAGCTTTGGAAAGAGATATAATTTCTCAGAATCCCAATGTTCGATGGTAAGTTATAATAATTGGGTGTGCTGTTGATGCTTTTTGGGATAGAAAATGGAGCAGATGTGGGCATGCACTGAAGATCAGTCCTTGGGAACAGAACCAGAGTCCATGCAATGAGAGTGTTACATATAATGCAAAACTCCAGTTCAGGCTGTACCAAGGTTTTATCTGAGACTTTTTAATAAAATAAGTAATAAAATAATTTTTTATTAGATGAAAAATAATTACAGAATGGGAATAAGATCACAGAAATTTAATTCAAAATATCATGTGTGGCCAGGCTGGTGTGGCTCAATGGTTGAGCCTCGACCCATAAACCAGGAAGTCACTGTTCAATTCCTGGTTGGGGCACATGCCCGGGTTGTGGGCTGGATCCCCAGTAGGAGATGTTGCAGGAGGCAGCCAATTGATGATTCTCATCATTGATGTTTCTATCTCTCCCTCTCCCTCTCTAAAACCAATAAAAACATATAAAAAATACTATGTCCCTCTCCCTTCCTCTCTAAAACCAATAAAAACATATTATAAAAAATACTATGCGTGGAGTGGTGGTGGTAATTTTGTGGTTGCAACTTCATAGCAATTTCTATGATACCCTTTATCTTTGGTGTCTACCTCTTAATAGTGTTGGGGGCAAAGCAGCAGTATTACAACCTGTCTCTGCTTTTATGCCCTTTTTCTTTTTTATGTTTTTTTTTTTTAAACGGGCTCATTGTTTTTAAATCATGAAGTTTATGGAATGAGCATCAATCAGAGCAAGAATTTAAAATGAGATGGCATACTAATACTTGAGTGGGCCTGTCGACCTGTGTTCTCATTCGCCAAGCTGAGAATCATCACTGACAAAAACTGAAAGTACAGATTGTGCTCTTTATGTGGATTGGTTGGCAGGGCCTCATCACAGTGTCTTAGTTCGCTAGAGCCAAAGGAGAGCATTCTGTCAGCAATGTCAAATTACGTGCTTCAGGGGTTCTCAAGAATGACTCCATAGAGTTAAATATATACTCTAAAAGGTGGTTTATAAAATATCTTCTGTTTCAGGGATGATATTGCTGATTTGGTAGAGGCTAAAAAGTTGCTTAAGGAAGCCGTGGTGTTACCAATGTGGATGCCAGAATTCTTTAAGGGCATCAGGAGACCGTGGAAAGTAAGTTTATTATGGCATAGTCAAAGTGAATGGCCAGTACATCGCTAAAGAAAGTCAATATTTATCTGTTTTAGGTGAAGTGAGGAGAGAAAGTAGTAGAGTAGGTAAAGAAAATTTAAATTAAAAACAGTATGTTGTGTTATTCAGAATTTTGTTTAGACCAAAAGCTATTTCTAGGTTTCCAGGATAATAAATAAGTACAACATGATCTTGGATAGTTGGACACGTGGCAGATTTAGAATGAGCTTGTATTTGCAAATGTGAACAAGTTGCCTAATGCAAAAACACTCCATTTTATGTGTCATGTTGCAAACTTGTATCCTATTCTTAAGAAATTAAGACATATTTGCATCTATTGAAGATATTTTTCTTAAGAAATAAGACATATCTATATCTAATAAGGACTTTTTAAGGTCATGGGTCGATCTGAAAAGAGACTGTCAAAAAACTCTTAGATTTGGAAAATATGGTAATAGCTAAGCACTTACTAATTATTTATTTATCTATTTATTCTTATTGATTTCAGAGAGGAAGGGAGAGGGAGAGATAGAAATATCAATGATGAGAGAGAATCATTGATTGGCTGCTTCCTGCACACCCCACACTGGGGATCCAGCCTGCAACCTGGGCATGTGCCCCGACCGGGAATTGAACCAGTGACCTCCTGGTTCATAGTTCGACGTTCAACCACTGAGCCAGGCCAGCTGGGCAATTTTAAGTCTTTAAATGTTAAATGATAAGCAAGATAAAAATTATAAACATTCTTTGAGTATAAATATGTAAAAAAATAATTTATTTGAGCAAAAAGACTAGCAGAAAATATATCCAGATACTATAATAATATCTGTTGTAGGATATGATATTGTAATATCAGTATTATAATATTGATTATATTTTTTCTCAGTTCTGAGTTACATATTTTAAATAATGCTGTTATTATACTTTTGTAATGGACAAAGTAAATTTGTGATAAGTATACTTCTGTTTACCTTTCTATTTGTCTTTTGTCTTAATATGTGTAAGTTGGTTGAAAAGTGATCCTTAGTAATGGAATTCTAGTGAAGTAGAACAATGGCAGATAAATCCTTCATTTATGCTGTTACATTCCCAACAGGGAGTGTTGATGGTTGGCCCACCTGGCACAGGAAAGACCCTCCTTGCTAAAGCAGTAGCTACAGAATGCAAGACAACATTCTTCAATGTCTCTTCATCAACGCTGACTTCTAAATACAGAGGAGAGTCTGAGAAGCTTGTTCGTCTTCTGTTCGAAATGGTGAATGTTTGAGACAGCTCTGATTCTTTACCTCTGAAAGGGGAGAAAGTGAGTTGTCACTATCTCCAGTGTGTAGAGTAGCTAGGAAGAATGACATTGTGCCCAGGGTATGATTCCTATGCCCCTGAAGCTGGAATCCTTTACTGATACGAATAACTTGAGTTGTTCTTTGTCCCCTTTCCTCTGGAGGAAAAGCCACCTCTGTTAGCTAATGAGCATGCTCACATTATGGGATCTGCCTTACTAATCTGCTATAGGAATTTGAAATTGTTTTTTTAAAATCAGTAAGCTTAGTTATAACATGGTAAATGCAGTATGTTAATGCAAAAAGTTGAAAATCCTAAGTACTTGTGGAACTTAGATCACCTCCAATCTATGAGCTATACCAAATATCCCAAGTTTAATGACCCAATCTTTGGCTTAAATTCTTTGCTCCATACTTTGAGTTTCTTTTATGTTCTTCCACTCCCACTAATCTAGTATCAGTAGGGGAAATGTAACTTAACAACTTCTGGATTGAATTCAGTAGACTTTGCTAAGCTTTACTGATTATTTCAGTCTTGCTGAATTTAAGAAGTGGTGCTGTTGTAAGTATGAGGACACATTCTTATTTGTAGATAGTGACAAAGACTTGCATTCTTACTTTGGGTGGACAGAACCTTGGACCATGCTAATATCATACCAGATCTTCCTTCCTAGGCTCGGAATAAAACAAAACAGCAAACAAACATCCTCATAATTTCAGGTTATTTTCTTATAAAGCCTTCTTCTGTTTTCAGTTCCTGTTTCATTTTTCTTTCAACTTTGAACATTTATTAGGCAGGATGCAAATTCTAAGAAGTTCTCAATGGCTTACTAATAGCCCATACCACAGTAGGAATCTAAGGAACCTCTGAGTTCATTATGGAAAATTAGTTTTCTTTTAGCTTCTGGGGCGGAGAGGGTGGGAGGGGAGGGGGAAATTATATTGCCTGTATTCCAGAAGAACCAGGCCTTTAAAAATGTAAATTACAAAGAGTGAATGACTAAATGCGGGGGTCGTTAGAGTCAGATGGCATGGGTTCAGATCCCACCACTGTCACTTTCCTAGCTGGCTAACTGTGGGCAAATTCCTTTCCTCATCCTCAGTTACTTCATCTATAAGAAGAGGCCAATAATAGAGGACATACCCCTGTAATGTTTAGTGGGTGAAACAAGCTAATACACATAAATTGCTTAATACAGAGCCTGACATATAAGGGCTCATAGATATTAGCTGTTGCTTTTTATGAATTATTTGACATATTTTCTAATGTAGGGTTTATATTCAAGAAAACGGACCATTTTTTTCTATAGGGGGAAGCCTTTGACAAAGTGCTAAATTGCATTATTTTTTCTTTTTTAAAATATATTTTTATTGATTTCAGAGAGAAGTGGAGAGGGAGAGAGAAATAGAAATAACAATGATGAGAGAATAATTGACCAACTGCCTCCTACATGTCTCCCACTGAGACCTGAGCTAGCAACCCCGGCATGTACCCTTGAGTGGAATAAAACCTGGGACCTTTCAGTCCACAGTCCACAGGTTCTAGCCACGGAGCCAAACCAGCTAGGGTGCATTATTTTTTATAATAAGGCTTATGAAGCCCTCTCCAACAGCTTATTATTTTTTAAAGGTATTAATTATAGACTTAAAAAATATGTTTTTATTGATTTTTAGAGAGGGAGGAGGGAGAGGGAGAGATAGAAACATCATTGATGAGAGAGAAACATCCATCGGCTGTCTCCTGCACGCCCCCTACAGGGGATCCAGCCCACAACCTGGGCATATGCCCTGACCAGGAATCAAACTGCGACCTCTTGGTGCATGGGTCTGCTCAACCACTGAGCCACCCTGGCCAAGCTGGATTTTTATTTTAAAAAAAAAACTTTAACTTGATGTTTATTCACTTCAGCTCTGTTTTGAGAAATCTCTGTTATCATTTAGTTCTTTCTTGTGCTGTGATTCTATAAATTTGGATATTTAGTTTTAAAAATGATTAACAATAAACTTTACTGTAATAAATTTCTTTAGACTTCTTAAGAGTGATACTATTGAGTCTTAACATAGCTATTTACTAGATTAATACTTGACTAGAACCGTTATTTAATGGATTAGTCTTTCCTGTTCTGTGGTTTGAGGAAGAAATGCATTTAAGGTACACAAATAAACTTGGGAAGTGTTATTCAGCCATAAGACAGAATGAAGTACTGTACATGCTACAGTATAGATGAACATTGAAAACATTGTGCTATGTGAAAGAAGCCAGACACAAAAGACCACAAATTGTATGATCTCATTTATTAGAAACTAGAGGCCCGGTGCACGAAATTCATGCGGGGCCGGTGGCGGGGGGGCGGGGGGTGTCCCTCAGCCTGGCCTGCACCCTCTCCAGTCTGGGACCCCTCGGGGAATGTCCAACTACCGATGAACACCGAAAACATTATGCTACGTGAAAGAAGCCAGACACAAAAGACCACATATTGTATGATCCCATTTATTAGAAATGTCCAGAATAGGCAATTCAGTAGTGTAGAGACAGAAAACAAATTAGTGGTTGCGAGTTGGGGAAAGGGAAATAGGGCTGTTTTTTGGGGGCGTGAAAATATTCTGGTATTTGATAGTGGGGATTGTTACACAAGATAGCGAATATACTAAATTGTACAATTTAAAGTCGTTTAAATGGTAAATTTTATAGGAATTTTTATCTCAAACAAAAAAACTTGGGCCATATAAATTTACTCTTCTATTTCACTACTTAAGAGGATTTTAAAAAGTACTTCTCAAAAGAAAGATGGCAATTAGAATTTCTTAGAGGGAATCTATGTAATTTTACTTAAGATAATGATTCTCTTTAACCAATTTTTTTTCTAGAACTTTAGAACCCTTAACCAGTATCTGTGTTTTTCCACCAGTTATTAATATTTTTGTAGTACACAGGTTAATCCTGAATTTATATCACTCATAAGTATGTATCATTATAGTATTGAATGGCAAAAAAATTTGCCATATAATATTTTAGTAAGTAAGTCTGTATTACAAACTATATTTTAGCTGTTCCAATTTTATCCTCTCCCCCAATATTAGGACAAGAGGGAAAGATACACAATGTGGCAGACTCCTCAGCTGTTTTGTGGTTGCTAAACTATAAATTACTTTTAAATGAAATAAAAACCTGGTGTTGCATGGTTTCTTTTTTTAGGCTCGATTTTATTCTCCAGCCACCATATTTATTGATGAGATTGATTCCATTTGTAGTCGCAGAGGGACTTCTGAAGAGCACGAAGCAAGCAGGAGGGTGAAAGCCGAGCTGCTGGTTCAAATGGATGGTAGGCATGTGTATATGCGTGAATTGACTAAGCTCTGCTCGTGGTGCTAGCCCACACAACTCCCCATGACTAAAGGGGGCTGGAGTTTGACAGCATTAAATTGGTACACTGACAGTGGAGTCATGCCAGAAATGATGGCTCTTCACAGGCACCCTTTGGCATATATGCTGTTCTCTTATTTTTAGCCATGCAATTGAAATAAATGCAGATAAATTTGCCTGAGGGGGGTATGTATGCTTTTGAAATTAAAAAAAAATAGGTATGTAGTTGAGCTGGTCTTTTGATTGAGTCTGTTTTGAGTCTTATTGCTTGCATACTACAAGAACTTATTTTTCTTGGACCAAAGTTTACGTATGTACCAGTTTGTTTTAGAAGTTTTAAAGAGGCTTGACCATTATACTACCTTGTAACTTTGTGCTAAATATTTGATGATCTTTAAGTAGTTGAGCTTTATTTTATATATCTGAGTATAATTTTACTCTCCCCTTACCCTTCTTTTAGGTGTTGGAGGTGCTTCTGAAAATGATGACCCTTCCAAAATGGTTATGGTTCTGGCAGCTACTAATTTTCCCTGGGATATTGATGAGGCTTTAAGACGACGTCTTGAAAAAAGAATCTATATTCCATTACCATCAGGTATCTTCATGTGAATCTTGTCAGAAAGCTCATGTTAACTTAGTTTTTCTTAGAAATTTTAAAATTTGTTATTAACTTTCTTTCAAGAGACAAATATGGCATGTTTTTCCTTATATTAACTGGCTTGGCTATATCTAGAGCTCGAAAGCCTTGATATTAGGAAATGTAAAATTCAGTGAGGAATAGCTCTTAAATTTTTAAGCAAATGAGCTCTAAGAATTGGTAAACAACTTATCATACAAAGTGGACTTGAGGAAAAATAATACACTGTGTTTATGTTGAAGACTTATATTTTTAAATTTGTTCTTACCATTAGCAAAAGGCAGGGAGGAGCTATTACGAATAAGTCTCCGTGAGCTGGAATTGGCTGATGATGTTGACCTTGCACGTATAGCAGAAAATATGGAAGGTTATTCAGGTGCGGACATTACCAACGTGTGCAGGTATGAATTATTTTGGAAGCATAGGTTTTTGTGGGTCTAAACTTATGCCAAGTTAAGAAAAAGACACACTTTATAGTCTACAGTCAAAGACACAAGTTCTGGTATTTAGTTAGTGTTAGCAGGTGCTAGTAAGATACCGGTATATCTTACAGATCAAGTCTACAGTTCATTTGAAAACTACAAGTTCAAGAAGCTAATATTACAACGATGAGTGTAAAATAGAAAATCTGTAATTGTTTTGGATTAAAATGATGTTGGTGCAGTTGTTTAGTATACTGTCATGAAGGAAATAGAATTGTGAAATAAATTAACTTGGCATACCCAAGTAGAGTATAATCTCATTTTCAGTGAAAATGTCCTAAATGTGACAGGAATAGCAGTAAAAAAGAGAAAAGACTGCCCCTCTAATCCGGCTTATTCATGAATTTTATTCTAGTCCAAGTATTAACTCAGATGATTTAGCAAGGTGCTTGATTTAGTCTCGTCCTCTCAAAAGTGAGCCTTTCAGATAGGGCTCCTGTGAGGATTAGTGATAGTGTGTAAAAGTAGCCATATGTTGCCATCCCTTTGCATAAATGGTGGCTGCTATTAAGAATAAAATTTGGTGAAAGAGGTGCTTGAATCCAAAGTTTCTCCTTAAAAAAAAAAAAAAGGCATGAAGTACGAGGAGAAACCACCTTCCTGGACACATATATAAAATATATTTTTCTAGCTAATAGGTTTTCATTCAATCAAAATATCACTTTTTTTTAAAAAAAAATTTAAAACCTAGGGATGCATCCTTGATGGCAATGAGAAGGCGTATTGAAGGTTTGACCCCAGAAGAAATCCGAAATCTTTCAAGAGAAGAAATGCACATGCCCACAACTATGGAGGATTTTGAAATGGCTTTAAAAAAGGTTTCTAAGTCAGTATCTGCTGCAGACATTGAAAGATATGAGAAATGGATATTAGAATTTGGATCATGCTAATTCTCACATGTAAACTGTGAGAAACCTGCCTTAAGTGTTTGAATAATTAAATGTAGTATTTCATTGCACGGAGTGCTATATTTTTTTAAACTTTCATAATGGTAAGATTTTTTTAAAAAAACCATATGATTCTGAATAAAGGCAATTTTTTAAAGCTGTAAGCAATTTGTTTTACTTCAGCATTGCCTGATTTCTTTCACTTACTACAAATGTTGTAATACAGTCGCTGTTACTTAGTTTGGAAAACTGTCTTTATATGCACTTGTAAGTATAGCATCTTCCACCTCCATGGCTGCCCTTCTAGGTGGTAAGACTGGCTCTAGTTCCTTGGGTGCCAATGGAAAACTGAAAATTCCGGAACATTTTTACACAAGTAGCCAATTGAAACATGAACCAAGCCCAGTGTGTCTTCCTGCCTGTGTTATGGTACCTTCCCTCCATTTCCTGGGAGATCTTTAAAGATCCTTCATTTCACTATGCATTTAAAATGAAAAAACATGTATCTATATACAACCTTGCCTGACTTTATTCTGCCTACATAAGAGAGGCTGCACTATAGGCAAGTAGATACTTCTAAGCCTATGCTGCTCACTGTATTCTAATGAAACTGATTCATTCACTCAGGATACGAAGCATAATTAACAGTTGATGATGTAAGTAAAAGTTAAGTGAAATACAAGTTAATGGTATAACATTTTAAATAAGATTTCTATTTATGATTACTTGTAAAAAAAACCCAAAAAACTTATTGTATCATCCCAAACGTAGAAAACAGAGCCTCAAGAAGCCTGAGTGCCTTGCTGTGGTCCCTCTCACTGGTAAGGAGAAAAGGCAGGATAGGGATCTACTGACTGCAAAGCCTGTCCACTCCAATTGGCCATGTAGCCTTCTACATTGTTCTCACCAGTCTATCTACAAGCTTATGCTGAATGGATGAAATAAGACCCCGTCATCATTTGGAGTCAGAACTGGTGATTTCTAGCAACTTAGTGAGGAAGGACAGAAAATAGTGTGACCAACTGGGTGACTTTAAGATGTACATTATATGCTATTATTTATTCTGCTAGAGGCCCGGTGCACAAAAATTGGTGCACTCAGGGGGAGTCCCTCAGCCTGGCCTATGCCCTCTTGCAATTTGGGACCCCTCGGAGGATGTCCACCTGCTGGCTTAGGCCCGCTCCCTGGAGGATCAGGCCCAAGCTGGCAGTCAGACATCCCTCTGGCAGCCCGGCAGCCCTCGGGGGATGTCCACTTGCCAGTGGGGAGCAGGCCTAAGCTGCAGTCGGACATCCTTAGTGCTGCTGAGGAGGCAGGAGAGGCTCCCACCACCACCACTGTACTGGCAGCCATCAGCCTGGTTTGTGGCTGAGCAGAGCTCCCCC